TCTTTTCCTATTCTTCATCCAAATGGGCAGCCAAAAGACAGCAACCAAAATGGGCGCACGAATATGCGTGGTTAATGGTTTTACAAACTGAACTGAACGGAACTATCTTTGGCGGTGATCAGCCAAATTTGCTATATGTTGATGTTTGGGTTTGTTGCATCATTACGAGTTATCTGTTTGGTATTTTTTTCATTCCGTATTCTGTGTGATGGCGAGACACCTTAATGAAGTCTAGTTCGATACATGTTTGAAGGAGTCGCTCTGTAATTTCGCGAATTTGGCCCTACCTGTTAAGCGCGTTCATCTGGACAATTGTAGAATAAAGGTTTTCGGAATATACGGCGTCTGATTAAGACTCCTTCGATGATTGACTATCATTGGAAAGCGCGTCTAGGATGACCGGGGCATCGGTATGTTTGGGTTTGTCATCATCCGAAGAAAAGATTGCTGCTCTGTCGCCTCAGGAGAGAAAGGTTGGTCTTTGTGATATGCACCGGGATTCAATTACTCATTCCATGTTGATCAGTAGCCTGAACTGATCATTGATGGAAATAGTTTGCATATCCCATCGAACTAAATAACCGTAGTATAGTTCTCAGCACGTTCCAATACCCCCACATGTACATGCCAGTGCCTTCGATCTTTCCACTGCCCTTTTTCATTTAGCATTCGTCACTACCACAGTATTGGTGACGTATCTGGTTTTGTTTGGATCGTTTCATCGATGTGTGAACCGTAGAGTTTCGTTTGTCCTAATGCTTTCGAAATTCCAAAACGATAGTCATTCCGGACTCTACATGCCGGCAACCTGAGAAATAACATGTTCCGTTTTTCGCCTTCATCCCGAGTCAAAACGACTCAGACTCCAACGCTTGGTTTTTTCTTCATGTTCATGGAAGATAAATAACATCCATGGGGTTTTTTCACCAACGAGAGTGAAGGTGCTATTCACGAACATCAGGTTGTTTAATTGTATCTGATTGTACTTTGGGAACGTAGAACTTAGTTCCGGGCGGTTACAGAGACTTGTGGTGTGGGGGGCTCTAGTCTTTTTACACCTGCAGTACAAAATTGTATCCCGACTCAATTCACAATGCGGTGGAAGTTAAAACAAAGTGCACCCATACTAGATTTTACACTTCGTGATTACACATATAGACTGAAATAGAGAACTACAAAACGCGGTTATCCTTTCCTCTGTGGAAGCCTAAATGAATTTGGACTCGACGTTTAATAGTAGTACATCGTGGCTATTCGGTTCAGTTCACCCGATATAATCATGGGTACATGTGCTCTCGTTTCAATCTAAATACAAACAATGACTGACCGCAATAAGTAGTCACATGAAACGAATCCCCGGTGGTGGCGACAGCGAGTGTCAGTGTGCGGACGTCACATCGCAGCACTTACCCGTAGCCAGTTCCGGTTCTACTCAAAAAGCTATTGCACTGTTGTTTCTTGTAGTTTCAAAACTCACCTTTTCTGTCGCGCATAACTCCACAGCGTTCAAAAACAGGAATACCTTGCTGAATCGATGATTCAAGCATCATTATTATCTGTCATAGTTCACTGGCACGATTTGCATTTTGTACTTTAATAACAAATGATTTTGTCCATTTTGCCATCGCATTCATTGCGAGACAGTTTAGTATTCGGAATCGAATAGCGCGAACTCGGATTCGAATTGAAAACCCGCTGAATAGCGCAAAGTGAGGTAAAACTCATACGAGTTATAGATACAGTTAGTTCTATTCGGAAAATTATGCAAGTAAATATCACAAGCATCTAACAATCTTCTTCAATGTCCAATCGACAACGCAACGGCTCATTTGGTCGCCTCGCATTCAGCCAATCCGATTGATGCCACTTGAGACTACAGGAATGATCGGGAAATCAGGTTTTGTAATTGGATACCTGGAAGCTGTACCGTGGCGCGTGCATACTCGTTGCACGATCACCACCGACACCTTCATTCCACCTCCTCAGTAAACTTCAATGGACACCTCATATAGCGTCGGAATTGGAAGCACTGTAATACAGCTTAATGCAGAGCTTTTCTGTTTGTCTGACTATAGCGTTCATCGTTTGTCTGAGCAGGACGAACCATTTCAAGATGGTCTTGTACGATTTCGATCTTTCAAAATCCAGCGGTATTCCGGATTGCATTCTAACCACAACATTGATTTTTCCAGCTTTACACGCGACGTTTATACCGGAAACGTTGGCAGCAATTACCAATAGGCAGGGGCTCAATCATCGCTGCCGAAAATCCAGCCATGGGAGCTTGATTGCGTGCACAAATTGCTTTTGAACACGCAGGTGTGAAGATGGATACCGGTTGCCTCCGTTTCGGCTAGAATGCGAAGTTGCACGTCTGTGGACTATCCCGTGTTCAGTCTGTCCGGGGTCGGAATCTCTTCGGTCAAGCTTACGATGCGATTAGTTACACAATAGTAGTGGAGGATTTGTTTTGTTCACACGGTGAATTTCGTCATGGGATTAGTGTCGACAAGGTGCGGCACGACCACACTTGTTGTTGACCCAATTACCATACTTCTCAGCTGCACACGGTCATGCTCACGGATACGCTCGTACGGATGCTTAGTCTGCGGTCAACACACAATCAACCTCCTGTTCGGTCACGCCAATGAGAAATCGCATTTTCCGATATTTTTCCACTTGTTAGCAAACCTAAACCAAGCGTATACATACGTATACGTACGTCTTGATTATGCAATGTTGTCGTCTCTGCTATCACAGGCGCTGAAACTTACTCACTTGGTCGTTGACTGATGTACGGGTCGGTCATTGATCAACCAAATTACAATGTCGCATTCAGCCGAGGGCGTTTCTCCTAGTGTGTGTGTGTGTGTGTGTGAGAACACTGGAAGTTCGTAGGGTGGAAAAGACGTCGGTGTACTACGCAAACTTAGTGACGGGTATTTTACTCGTTTTTCGATCACGTAGTTCCTTTTGAACGTGATTCTGCCAATGAATTGAGCATTAGATTACGTATGTAAGAATTAGTCTGAACGGTTCATTGTGCTTCATTTTTGTGGTGTCAGTATTGCCAAAACCCGTTTAGATCATGATGGACACTATGTAGTCAATGTAAATTAAATGCAACATTAGTGAGGATTGAAATTCAATAATTGGGTTAGAAAAATTGCCCAAACGAACGGTAAGTAGTTTTTGGATAAATCGATAGTTAAGACTAAAAAACGCTGATTGCCAAGTGCACTATCCTACAAGGTTTAAATTTCCTGAATGCATAAAAACTAAGGGAAAACTGTATATTCAAGATCTTTACTTAAATAGCAGGTAATGTCAAATAATGGGAACAAGTAACGGAAGTGAAACAGTTTTCATCGATCCTGCATATTTTGTCCTAAGTATCCCAATCGAATTTTCATACTACCTAAAAGCATAGATTATTGATTAACATGCTTCGTCGCAGTTTCTGGAGTGTACTCGCTTTTTCGATTTCCTGATGGGTGTGACATAACGGGATATTGGTTATACTTTGCTCCACAACAGTATGTGAAAGAGTAGATACAGAAAGAGGCAGAAAAATTGAGCTTTCTGTCTGTCAATCGCAACAGTATAAACGGCCTAGATGTGAATCGGGTTTGGAGCTTTGCTGTGTAGAACTTTTTTTGATGACATACGATAGCCTTCTGTGCACGCAATCTCTGTCAACGTGTCGCCTTTAAGCGGTACAAAAGGGTATACGGACTTTTTTCTTACCAGTGCCCCTCTTGGTAAGCGCCTGATTTCTTTGTCCCATAGATTCCCCCAAACGCCCATGGGTAGCCATTCTGGAAGAGGATATTCTGGTTCTCCTAGTTCTGCTGGCCAAGCATTATAAGATTCTTCTTCATAGTGAATGGTACAAAAGTACGGAAACGAATATTCTGCCCATTTAACGTCACCTTCCTATGCACTGACCGCGTGATCGACCCGTCCTCACGATGAGATATACTAACTGAATTTTCGCTTCATTTTCAATGGTCAATTTCAAATTCCAATGCCCCGCATTTAACTGATCTAGCAGATGTTTGCAGCC